AGTAAAAATTGTCTTATTCCTAGGCTGAACTTTACATCATGCAGCCAGATACCACATGCCTTCGGTATGACAGACAAGGAACCTCCCTGGGATGATACTTTCTCACAGCACATTTCCAACAGAGAAATGGGGAAACTAAGGCACTCAGATTCAGTTATTATTCCTAGCCTTGGGTCTGCTGCATGTTTGTGATCCCAGCCTGATGCTTTTTTTCTCAGTAATGACTTTCAAAACCACAGGTAAAATCTCCTGTAATTGTAGGAAACATATTCAATTTAAATTTAATAGTGTAAAAAACATATCATGCCTGAATGCGGGACTACTTTAGACCATGTTATTTTCCACTGTGCCCAGGCTTTCATATAAAAGGTTCACTCTCTTAATTCATAGTTTACAATGCCTTTAAAAGATCTGGTTAGGAGCAGTTACAATGTTTATTCAGGATGTTATCAATGTAGGAGGTTGGTCCAGTGTCCTTACCAGCACTGCAGAAGTTTCTACCTGTCAACTTCCAAGGTCAGGAAGGTCCATGGAAACGGACTAAAAAGCTCCGCAGTTTAAATTCTAAATAAATCTCTACCTTCATTTAGTAATTTACTTATCTTGATTCTTACGAGAATATGTATGCAAATCTCACTAATGTAAAGCTTAAGCAACAACTTGTGGCTTAAGCAACAACACAAAAAAATGCTGCCAATAAATATTCAGCTGACCATGGCGTGGCCCATGTGGCTTGGTAATCATTCACTCCTTAAACTCAACTTCAGAGCCAACAAATAATTTTAAAAGAGATCTTAAAAATATTTTACCAGAAAAGACTGTGAGCATTGAAATTCCGTGGATCATAGTTAGAGATGTGAAAATATTCCCCAATAAGTATATGGCAAGGATATTTTTTATTCCATCTCCTTTAGCTAAAATTTGCTTCCAAAGATTCCACTTTCCACCTAATCCAAAAGGTTGGATTTTAAGTGATTTCACAACAACAACACGTCTAAAGGGGCAGCAGGAAAGAGACCTTCTTGGGGAGAACAAACACCTTGATAAAAGAAGGCATTTCTCTTTAGAGGGGGACATTTCCTAGGGTATCTGTGGGATGAACATTTACACTGTAAAAATTGCCGGAAAAGCCTATGAAGCTCAAACAGACCTGCTCCAGCAAAAAGTGATTTCCAACAACAACACGTCTAAAGGGGCAGCAGGAAAGAGACCTTCTTGGGGAGAACAAACACCTTGATAAAAGAAGGCATTTCTCTTTAGAGGGGGACATTTCCTAGGGTATCTGTGGGATGAACATTTACACTGTAAAAATTGCCGGAAAAGCCTATGAAGCTCAAACAGACCTGCTCCAGCAAAGATGCTATTGCTGACTGGGATAGAGAGCAGTATGTCAGGTGTTTTGTGTCCCTGAAAACACTTGAGAGTTTGTGCCCATGACCTTGAGTGTCTCAGACCAAATCACTGAGGCGGACCATTACTGATTCGTTCATAACAGGACGCCCCATCCCTGGAAACATTCAAGGCCAGGTTGGTCGGGGCTCTGAGCAACCGGATCTAGTTGAAGATGCCTCTGCCCATGGCAGGGGGGTTGGACTAGATGACCTTTAAAGGTCCCTTCCAACCCAAACTATTCTATGATTCTATGATTCTATGATGTGTCACTAATAACAACGTTGCATGATCCATCTAAGCCGCTCATTTATACACAAGTAATCTAATCATTTTAACAATGAGCAGTAATTTCTAAATGCATTTCTCTTTCTCTTCTGGTTGCATAAGTGAGGTAGAGGATACAGGCGTGCTTCGTTGGATGCTTACAGCAATGAAGCAGACAAAACTGATGCTAAGAAAACCTGATTGGTTTATTTTACCCACTATCTCATAAAAAGTGGTAATTGACATTTTAATGCATGACATGTTGCATTCCTTCATAACACTACAGTAATTGAATACACATGAAACTGTAGTGCACTGGGTGACCCTGGAGTGTGCCACACACCTGGAAGCAGTGAAGTTCAATTAATGTGTCATTGCTACTAATAACAGCTACTAGTGAGAACCTCCAGCCAGTTGCTACACCAGAGGAAACAGTAATCCCTGTATTTAAACAGATAGTATACAGTAAACACCAAGGATCCATTGTATACATGCAGAGCTGTTTTGGATCAACAGTTAAAATCTTGTTCTCTTAGTAACTTGCTTTTTCACTAAATTGCACAATTTAATTTACCCCTGCACTGCATTTGTCTAGCTTTGTGTGCAAAAATTTGCAGATACTAAAATAAAATCAGCTGAGAGCCATTAGTAGACTAAATCAAATAGTACTGAGACAAAGGTTCATGCAATAAAAAGAGAACATAAATCACGCACTTGCACAGAAAAAACTATGGTAAAATGGCCTTAAGGATTTGATTTAATCTGTCAAACCCCAGGAAATTTAGAGTTAAGAGTTGAAACTCCTTCCTTAACTTGCCTTATTGTTAAAATCAAGTTATCAAAAGTCCTTCATTAAGCATATGCATATATAGATGTGCATACACAAACAGTCTGAATATTTTCTTAATTTAATTTACAAAAATAGAGGACATCAAAACTGAGACCAGAACAGAGGCAGGCAAGGTTGAAGTTCTCCTTTTTAATATGTCAACATCAGCTCTGATTTCACTAAGTAGTAAACATCGGGCTCTTGGGACAAGTTATGTATCCTAGGTGCTGAACCTAAGAAACTATTAAACCATTTAACCAAAAGCTCATAGGGAAGAAAAGATCATTCCAGTATGGCCTGGTTCCACAACATCTCTGTCCTCGCTAGGATTACGGAGTAGGATATCAAGTTACAAACATTACATCATTTGAAAAAGCCTCCACTGACTGAAAGCCATGTTAATACTGAAGACCATGATGTTGATTCATGAGGAGTTTAGCCTCTTCACAGGAACCCTGTTTGCAGTATCAGACCTGTGCATTTTTACTGGTGTTGAGACAAATCTCAGAGGAGTTGTACTTTCTGGTTGAGTAATCCCCAGAGATAAAACATCTTATTGAAAATGGGTTTGAACTTCTGCAGAGCTTCACTCGTCTTCTAGCAGCTATCATCACCACATCTATTTTATTTCTCCAATCATGCCGCTCTCTCATCTTAGATTTGTCTAAGATTTATCTGTCAGCTTTATCTGCCCCTAAATTCATTTCAGCTCTCTAGCTGATTCTCTCAGGCATTCATGATAAATAATATTCTCTGTGTTCTTCATGCTCCTATTTCCCTTCACTTTGCTTTTATATGTCTCGATTTAAAGTCTGTCCTACTGACCTGCCTGAAATCCCATATGTTTATGGAATTAGAGCACAAACTTCCTCAGCGATGGTTCTCTAATAGTCAGTAAAGCACTGGGTAGGCAGTTGGGAGAATATTTATCTTGTATTAATTGCACAAATATTCAGCTCAGTCTAAGATCCTCTCCGGTTTTGTGAACTATCTAGTCCACGCTGCATGTGTTCAGAGGGTTAGAGACACCGGTGTAATCAATCCCACTGTGAGTATTTGCACTGTCCAATACTTGCAATCTATTCAGGGTAAACAGTTGCCTGCCAACCCCCACTGCAGGAAGGTTTCCCAAGATATGCTAATAGCATGTCTCCAGTGCTGGAGAAACCCTGAAGTAGAGAAAGCTTGGAAAAAAATAAATACAGAAAAGTATCTGAGTTCAAAAGGGGGGAAAGAGGAGGAAAGCACATTCAGAATTTGACCTTTATATTGGGTAGCAGGAGGTGAAGAAATAAAAGCCTTTCTGAAACCATTCAAGTGATAAAAGGAGTGTTTGGAGACAACAATAGGTACCAGTATCTGTTGATGGAGGGAATCTGTTGTTTTCTTCTCTCAGAAAAGAAGTACATTGCATTTCTGGAAATGCAAGAAAATTCTACACAGGTTTGGGGGGAAAGAGGGGCCGAGTGGGGTGTCTGTCTTTCCATTGCAGCATGGTGGCCACCATTTGGGAGACTTAAGCCCAAGAACCTTATTTGGCTGAGGTTGGTTGTATGGAGATGGTTAGATGAGAACAGATGGTCTCAGGAATGTTCAGAAACTCCTAATGAGTAGCACCAGAAAACAGTGGAATAATTTCATATATTGCTCCATAGCAACCCGAAAACAAATTTCTCTTGGTTTTTTTAGATAGGAAAATATCCAAAAAATTACTTTTGAGATGTAAGGCTAGGTGTTGCAGCTTCTTGTAAATAATCCAGTCCTAGCTTCCAAACTCACAGTTAGCTACCTAAACTGCTGTGGGATTGGGTTCTTCCAAAGAGAAGGCATAAAAAAGCTGAGCAGTGAAACACGTAAGCTAGCCATGAGGAAGTTGTTAAGGGAATGGGCTGGTTCTTCTGACTTCCTTCTTCCTAGCTCAGACTTAGATATCTTTGTCATCATGAGGTTCCCTGACAAAATTTCTTCTAACCCTTTCTTTTTTTTTTCTTTTTGTTTGTGTTTGTTTTTTTAAGAGAAAAAGCAAAAAAACCCTGCTGTTTAAGCTATAAGACTAGAGGCAGAACAGCAGTTTTCCTCATCTTCCTGCCGTAGGACACAGTGGTCCTGAATTCATGACAGCAGAGGAAAGTTCAATTGCCTCTGAGGAAGTTCAAACTTTTACCTCCATCTTTTCAACAACAGCAGGATATAAATGGGGCTGAGACTCACAGTCCCTCCTGTTCGCACCAGGCTGCTCTGCCTAGAAAAACTGATGTGACCCTAGCCTGCTTGGCAGGGCAGTTGGCTGGGAGAAGGGAGTCCTGCATCTCACCCTATTCCAAAGACTTCCAATGCATTTGTGTGCAATGTCTGTTCCCGAATAATATAAATTTAAAACAAACAAACAAACAACCCTTGCAAAAGACACCAAGGTTTGTCCCTTCCCCAGTAAATCTTGATTATTCTATGCACAATGAAGTCAGTTCAGTAGGAGAGCACCACACACACACTCAAGTGGACAACAGTCTGATACCTCAAACATACTCTTCATAGACAAGAGGCCTGTGGTTGAATTCCTTTGAACAAAGGAGGGAATTGAGTCTGGATCTTCACCATCATATCTGACTGATCTGTCTTGTGTATAAAATGAGGACATCTTCTCCCATTGACCATGGAGAGGAAGAAGGTTTCAGAGCATTTTCACAGTGTATTCATTGACTGTGTTGGGCGCAGATCAAAGGAGAGAAGCAGAGAGATACTTGCTTCCTCAGTCTGCATTAGGTACCATGCTAGCTCTCCCCTGCTGAGCCTGAGGTGCTACTGGGGGTGTGTTTGGGGAGCTGAAATTATGAAAATTGGGCTTTAGATATATCCATAATTAGCCAGCAACTGAGTGGAAGTGTTCAGCATTCCCATTTTAGACTTCAGTATCTGCATTCTTCCTGAGTCCCTTTCTGGATCTCGCCTTGAGCTCCTAAACTGAGAGCACATTCAAATGGCATCCAGCGACTGAAGTGTCTCATTCTTTGGTATTGGTGAGTCTCAGGGATCAAATTTCAGGATCAGTGTTTAAAGGTCAAACAGATCATTTTAGAGGGTAGTATCTTCTGAGCAACTTTCTGATGCTGAGACTGAACTTACGTCATCTTCGTTCAGTTAAGATCGAACATATCCCAGGTTCCTGTAATAAAAGCATGGAAACCTTGATAATATGAAGCCTGACAAAGGAAAAAGGCATGCAAAGTTATAGACAAAGCTGGAAACAACAATGAGAAATAGCAGTAAGTTCCTATACTGACAGTAGCTCCACTTTCAGATACGTTTGCTGACTGACTAGCAGCTCAGATACAAAACCCGCTGGAGTGGGTTTGTTGAGGAGTGAGTTACTGATACAAGCAAATGCCTTGTGTGCCCATGCAGGATGTTTTTTATATGTTTCAGCCTCGAATGTAATTGCATTGTGGTGATTACTGTCCAAATGGCATAACTTTTCAATCTCACTGCTACTGGGGAAGCTCATGGTGACCAGAAGAAAACAACTGTCTCTTTTTATATTGGAAAGACATGAGCAGAGTTGAGGAACACCTCTTGCATTCTGCCTTCGATGAAGTCAGCTCACGTGGGCTCCTTACACGCTCGCAAAGCCTTGACTCTGCAAGGATGAAGGTTGGGAGACTTGCAACCTATTTCAAACAAGACTCATACCCCGTGGTATGAGGCTGTTCTCTGCTCTACCTTCTGAACCAAAAGGGATCACGTCCATTGACACCACACCACCAGTTCCCCAAGAGCTGAGTTTGTGAATCCTCGCTTTTCCTGTGCCCACGCCAGACCTTCCCAATCAGCTTGACCACACGAGCAAGGAGACAGACCCCCTGTTCCCACTCTTGTCAGTGCCCTGTCATGCCTTGCTGAGGCTGCGCTGCTGTGAGTATTTCACGCTGTTTTAAGCTAATCACTTGGAGAGTTGGCTGGTACACGTTCATTTGCAGGACTGAGGTCTTAAGTTCGCAAAAGCAACCTTCACTACAACTTCTGCTTCCCCTCTCCATCCCCTCTCCCTTGCAATGATGTCCCAGTCCCATGTGAATAGATTATTCTTGACTTAAATTTCTCTGCTCATACATGGTAAAATACCTATTTAGAAATAAGCTATTACACGTTACAAAGCTTTCAATGGACAAATACAAAAATATTAAATCAGGATGTTACAACAAACCAAAAGTACAGTAATTAACAAGAGCATATACATTTGCTTATGAATGCGCTTACAACATAGTAAAACATCACATAATGATGTATAAATAGCATTTTCCATTCATCATTTCTAAATCATGACTAAAGTATTTATAAACTTTACCATAAAGTATACCAAAGTTCTTCTGACAGCCATTATATAATATATTGAATGCCAAGCAGCATAAAATACCACCAAAAAAGAGAGATGTTTTTGCATCAGAATTCCTCTATTCCTCACAGATCCATTACTCATCTCCACTAGATTAGTCACACTATTCATACAAGCTGAGGGCCACTGAGAAAACAAGTTCAAGTCGCTGAACATAACTTAAAGTAAATAAAAATACTTACATTGACTTTCATAATGTTCAAAGGATTTCAGACAAATAGAGCAAAAACGCTCTACTGTGTGCTTTTCATACTAGGTTTTTCCTATTTCTTCAGCCTAGAAGCTTCCTTTCTATGATTGATACATTCCCTCTCCTGTTTCCAAGGACAGCTTTCACCTTTTAAACTGTCTACTGTAGTTAAAAGAAATATGGTTTGTAGCTTATATTAGCAGAAGCAAATGTTTGGTCATGAAAGTTTGGGCTTCATAATTAATATCAATTATCTGAGTTTTATGAAAATACTTTCAGAAAATTCATCAAATTCCAGTTCCAGTTGGGAAAAAAAATGAAGTTGGCCTTAACAAAATAACTTTATTCTCCTTAGAAAACTGAAATTGAAAACCTGAGCCAAACATGAGCATTCAGTGTTTTCAACTTAGACATATTTCTTGCAAATGTCATCCATTTGGATCAGTCCATCAACTCTGACAGCTCCTGCAGTGTCACATGCCTATATTATCACTGTACATTATATACAGGCACCGTACATTATGTACACTGTGTACCCTTTTCTACATCATGTACAGAAGAAAAAAAATAAACAGATCTTCTAGTTCTAATGAAAAAAAAAATCCTCTTATTTCATTTTTAAACAGCAGGTATTTTTCTGGACAGTTAGCTCAAGCCGCTTTTGACAAACTCTAAAAACTCTGAGTAACGAGAAGGAGTGTTGAGTTTTCCTTCCCTCCACTCTGATTAGAAATGGGATCCATGCCCCAGCTGGATATTTCCAGTTCATGCCCAGTAGAAATAATTTTCTGTCCGATTGCCAAACATCGTCCCGTGTGGCCAGCAAAGGTTGGACAATAGCAGTAACACAGCTTCAAGTAAAGAGCTGAAAACGATCCCCTGCAACCGGAGGCCTCAATTCTGCATAGTTTAATAATTCTAGCACCATGATTTAACTTCCTTTTTCCCTTTCAAGTGTTCAGTGCAAATTAATCGTATTGTCAATGCTTACGTTTCCTACCTTACTTATTTGTAAGGACATGTTCAAGTGGCATACTAGAAGGTTGATCCCGCAGTCTATACTTAACTAGTAATCCTCATGCACACTGGTAACCCCATTGAATATCAATATAAGATTGTGGTGCCAGGGAAAGTTAAACAAATCCTGAGGAATCTGTTTTATTAGCATTTATAGGATTTGTGTGTGTGAGTGTGTGTGTGTATACATCCACGCTTGGGAACAGTAGTTACAGGAAAAAAAAATACAAGCGATTCCTCCGGGGACGGTAAGCGCTGCTAGTTCTTGAGCTCATACCAATGCTGATGTTGCAGCCTGTAAATGTTAAAATATCTGATGATATTTTCTTTCCTGAGGAACTCGGTGGTATTTCTCACAGTTAATACGTTAGCTAAGCACATCAGACAAAAGTTAAGACCCGCACTGCGCTTGGCCCCGCAGCCCTGTTTTCCCCAGCCTGGACCCGTCTAGCATCGCGTGTATTATACGAGCGTACGAGACCCAGAAACACGGGAAAATTACACGAACGCGAAAGACCGAAGCCACGGCCCTGCAAAGGTGTCTGTCGCAAGAGCTGACCGGCTGCCACCGGGACCGCTTTCACGGACACGGGGGGACGGCAA